TACAACTAACATCAAACTTAAAAGGTCTCCATCATGTCTCACCTGATGTTATGTAATGACAGTCTAGAAATGCTTTAATTTCATCGATACAAACGCAAGTAGCTGAAAATTTATCTTGATTTTGGTGTTGTTTTCATTACCACCTAGTCTAGATGTCAAAGTCGCAACGCTCTGTGTTTTAGGTTTGCTAATATATTTTAACAAATACTTTATAGTCCTAAATAAAATAGTAATTTAATTATGCCACAAAACATTCAAATAACATAATAATAAAGTAACAAAATCTATTGACATCTTACAATGTTATATATTGACTTTTCAAATTTGGTTTTACCATATTTCACAAAACTACTTTCCCTAAATAAATAAAAAATGAACATAATTTTTATATGATAAATCAATCTATCCCTTGGAGAGTGAAATGTATTTACTAAGATATTACTTAAATCTAACATATCCGGCAATTGTTAAAAAATTGGATCTCACAAGGGATTTGAAGTTGGATCCATGAACAAAAATTTAACTGGTTTTGGAGTTCATTGCAATGTCAAAGATGTAGAGTTGAGCAAATTCTTATCAGTTCTCTAGATTGAAGTTAATGTGAAGGCCTCGGGTATGTTCCAAAAGGGTGATGTCTCATCGAAGTATTTACTTGCAATAAGCATTTTCAAAACCTCTGAAGTCTATCTCGAGGAGAGAGGTTCACTTTGGCTTGTCTACAACATAGTGAATTTTTTTGGTTAATTGGATTTCTTGTGGGTTTGGTACTTCCACCCTTCTCATCATCACTCCACAATATTCACATTTATATGATGGGGTTCCAACATCAAACACTTCAACAACTACAATAAAATCAAAACTCCAATATAAGAAATACAGTTTATAGTAATTCTAGCATTAAAATAAATTAAGAAAAACTTAGATACGGTAAGTATCAATAAACCTGAAAAATCTTCGGAACACATCATCCGAAGAAGATTATAATAATTTTTGGCAAGTTTGATGGATCTTAACAATCTATTTCTCCTAGTTTGAATATCGGTCAACAATCAATATGCATAAACCATCTAATAGTTAAAGTAGATATAATTATAGCTTCATTACCTCCGTACACCCATCAAAAATAAAAGAATTGGGACAGGACAAAACTATAAAATCTCCAAGATAAAAAAATGACTCACAAATAAATCAAAGACGGTGAGAAGAAAAAACAATTATTGGTTCGCGTGTACTTGCGGTGATGTTGGCGAAGGGCTTAAAGGCCCATCTTAGAGACTTGGACTGAATTAAAGGAAAATACTAATGAGTCCTCCCGTGAGATGCGCACAAGCCAGAAAAAATAAGTTTTAGTTGGTGCTGGAAGAGAACCTCTATATAGTAATGGTAGGATTCAGATACCAACCATTTGGCCATTCGGATAGCCTAGCACGTTGAGTACTTGCAAAGGCTTTAATGTATGGAAATGCGAAGACCAAACTTCCCATCCTCCTTTTCAAGAGCCCAAGAGGCAAGAAGATTTTAGAGGGCCTCAAAGCAGGGGGCTATAGGTGTCAAAACATGGCCCGACCCGAGTAACCCGTCCAACCAACCCGATCCGCGACCCGCCCGTAACCTGATTGGACTAAAAGTCAAAAACCCGCAACCCGCCCGACCTGCAATCCGGTTGACCCGCAACACGCGTAACCCGCAACCCGCTTGACCCGCAACCCGCTTGACTCGAACCCGATTGACCCGCAACCCGCTTGACCCGCAACCCGCTTGACCCGTAACCCGCTTGGCCCGTAACCCGACTAACCCGAACACGATTAACCCAACCTGAACCCGCCCGATTGGCACAAATAATACTACATAATATATTTTTGTGCATAAATATTATATGTAAATAATATATTTAAAGTTTACTTGACTTGCCCTATTATTTTTTCATCTTTCCCACCAAGAACAAAGGTTTACTTTGTGTTGACAAATGACAACTGTCATTAAATTGAATCACATAATAGTCTCACTGTCTCTGTAAATTGAATCACATAATACTCTCTGCCTTTTAGTTGAATCAAATAAACAACAAGTACTAATTGTAACAAATCAATTATGTGGACTAACTGGCTTCTGTGTTGGTCTTTCCTATCCAAGGGACACGGTTCAAAACCCAATAGGGACATATTTTTTTAACATGTTTTTGTATGTCAACTTATACATAAAATTCACTTAATGTATACCATAGTAAAATATGGTACGAGAAAGTTACGTATAAAATACTTACGGGTATTATACTTCGTCTCTTAGGTAATGCTACGTTTAATAGTACGTTAATAGTTATGAATATATAAAACTAATTACTTTTATAAAATAAATCAATATGTAAAAATAGTAAAGTTAATAATACATAAAATTCACTTAATGTATAGCATAGTTAGTAAAATATGGTACGAGAAAGTTACGTATAAAATACTTACGGGTATTATACTTCGTCTCTTAGGTAATGTTACGTTTAATAGTACGTTAATAGTTATAAATATATAAAACTAATTACTTTTATAAATAAATAAATATGTAAAAATAGTAAAGTTAATAATTCATTTCATTAAATACGGATATTAAACATTTGGAGTCGTAGGACATATGTTCTTCTCAATAACCAACAATTTCATAATACATAACTATAGTTCATGGTTTAAGGTTAGTGCATAGGGTATACGGTAGTGGACTCGTGGTTTAGAGTTTGAAGTCATAGGACATATGTTCTTCTCAATAACCGAATATAAAATTGACTCAACTTACATTCTTCACATAACATACGTTGTAGCTTATTCCAACAATTTCATAACATATAACTATAGTATAGGGTATAGCCTTATAGGGTCATGGTTTAGAGTTCATTGTTTGCATGTTTGGGTTATGGAATTATGGTTAAGGTTAGTTTTAGGTTTCAGATTTAAAATGGTGTTATAGGATTAGGGTTTAGGGTTTCTTCATGGTTATGCTTTGTGATAGATATTTTATTTTTTATAGTTTATTAATTAATTTAATTTTAACAATTAATTTAACTTGTGAATGTACATCTTAAATATATCATATTCAAATGTACATCTTAATTTGATTTTATAAACCCCAAATATTTGAGGAAATAATCATTTTTAACCCCAAAATTTGGTCCAAAGTTTCCGTAAACAATAAGAGCAATTAATTAATTAATTTATTTTGACAAAAGGTCATCAAATATGAAGAGGGAAATTTCCCCCCTTTATTCAATGAAAAAATCAAAAACTCCCCCGTTTTCTTTTGGCTCAAATCCTAAAATTCCCTCCCCAAATTTTCGAACCCTCCCGCTCTATTCCCCCACCAATTTTTTTTTTCTTCGCAAAGTCAGTTGTTACAAAATCAGACATACAGAGAAAATAAAAAGAGCGCGGGAGTCGACCAATAGTCGAACTCCCGATGAGAGGGCCTTTTATGCCACATGATGGGCTGCCCTATTGAGACAACAGAGAACAAAATAGTAAGAAACCCAACTACAGAGAGAAGCCGAGCTCTGAGCATCCTGCAAGATAGTTCCATCCTGATCATGAGCCAAGTCACCTGTCTGAGGAAGACTCTCCGATAACGGGAGCTCTTCTGCGTGCCCCTACAAAAAAACAAACAAAACACACAATCGTTCCCACTGAAGGACAACTAAGCTCCACCAAATGGACTTAAACAAGCCATTAAGGCTTAGTCGGATACACCGAATCCAAAACTATGTCAAATTAATTTTTTTTTTAAACAATGGATAAAGAAAAACAAAAAACCAAACGGACGAAATTGACAAATAAAAGGAATAAAAGAGAGGGTAAGTATCAAAAGAAAACAAATAAAATTTACTAATAAATAATGAAGGAAAGGTAAAGCGGATAAGTACAAAGATAAATGAAATAAAAAATGACTAAATTGCAATAATGTAAAAAAAAAAAAGGAATCTGAGGAGTCTTGTTTGAGTTACTTACCTGGAGCAGTTACGCCATTCCAAAAAGTGAGAAATTGAAATTAGTTAAAAAACACAGATACCAATTACTTGCGGCAGATCTCACCGGAACCGTCTGTTCAGTTACCCCAGGTAACCGCCGTCTGTCTTCTCACCTTTCTGCCCCCGAAACCACCACGCCGCTGCCGCCGTTCATCGTGCAAAACCTGGCCGGCCTGCGCTGGAAATTCCTCCGCCGCTTCTGGTCGCCTTTGCCATCGTCGCTGCTGCAACCAGTTCCCTCCGGGACGGACCACTCTTCCCCTTCCTCATCTTCTTTCTCCAACATCCTGCCCATAGCCAACTAACCCTAAATAATCAGAGACCCGCCACCAGCCCCCACAGGCCAAATCGCCGTTAACAAAACCCAGCGCTGTCGTCTTCGTCTCCCCTCGCCAAATCGACTCCCTAAACAAATAAACCCAGCGCCGCCGTGCTCTTGCCAAACCCGCAGCCGCCGGTTCGAGATAATCCCAAACGTTGACGCCACCCAGGACGCGTCGGTGCTGACCAAGCTAGCTTACCTCTGTCGCCATAATCTCTGGTTGTTTCTTCTTCCCTTGGATCACCCCGCCGCCTACTAGTTCGGAAACGAGATCGGCAGATCTAGGACAGGGAGATCGACAATCCGTCCCCTTCCCTCTCTTCTTTCTCACCATCGTCGAACCGAACACGCGCGTTGCACCGTCAGCGCTCCCCATCGCCTCCGCGGAAGAGGAACCGTCACGAGCCCGACGAGGAGAGAAATAAGGACTACTTCCCATTATATAATGCTGATTGCTGAAGGACTAATTTTCCCGGGCCACACTAGTTGGTTTGTGATCTTCCCCCACCAATTTTTTGTTCACCTAAAAAATTCCCCCTTCAACAAATTTTTGAACCCCTCATTTTGTTTCCCTTCTATTACCCCCTCCCGGTCTCCCCTATCTTGAATCTTCCGACTCAGAGGACTTATTCTCCAAAACCCCAAAGGAACTTCTTCGCCATCTGGACGGCCGAGATGGGAATCGCCAAGTCTGGGTATCCGCTCCACTCCAAGCGATCCGGCTTCCGCGTCATGATGCCTGTGTTCAAGTTACAGGGATGCGATATCACCGCTAGGAACGTCAATAGAAGTGATTCAATTTACGGATCCACGTTCACTGATGAGAACTTCGTCAAGAAGCAGTCCTGCCTTGAAATCCTCTCAATGGGCAATGTTGGAAAAGGACCATGGGATCTCAGTTCTTCATCAGCACCGAGCCACAACCGAGTGGTTGAACCACAAACACATCGTATTCAGGCATTGCCTACTGCTGCCAACTCTAGGTGATAATTGGGTGGTGTTTCCCGTTCCATTGATCTTGTTCGTTAATCAATGACACCATGGTGGTGTTGATGTCTCTTTCTTATATGTTTGTGTCCTGTTTTTGTTTTGTTTTAATGTGTTAGGGTTTTAGATGTCTCTTTAAGGATTTGGGTATGTGATTGGTTTTTTCATATCATACTCTGAAAGGGCTAAATCGGGCTTGTAATGTTTAATGAAGTGAAAGGAGAACTCTCCGACTACCAAGGCTAGAATCGAGCAAGCTGGTGGTGAATGCTTTGCAGTTTCACCAGCTTGCTTTGAGCCAAGAACGCAGTATGCTGCTTCTCTCTTTCTTTTTGGTTTGATTAGCTAGAGTTCTGGGTGTTTTGGATATGTTCTAATAGCTTTGTGCTTTAGAATTCAAGGTAAGAGAGGAGCTACTGTTGAAGATTTGACGAGCCTAACATGCCTAACATGACTTCTAGCGATGATTGCAAGTTTGCAACTCGTTAGGAATATCTAAGGAACTGAGCTCTATATACTAATCCCATCTATGAATATTTAAGCGAGCTTATTTCACTAATGTGGCAGTGAATATATAATTTAGTTGGGGTTCTGGATAACTCTTGCAGTCTTGTCTCTAGTTCTAAGTAGGGACTGTATTTGTTTTTGCAAGTGCTTCTCACTTCCCAATAGAGAATTAAAGTGATGTCGCTTGAGTGCTAGAGACGTTGTAAAGCTTAGAAAGTGTGGGAATTTGCTTGGAGAAATCACTAATTGGACCAACTGCTTCTGTTCATAGATACATTTGGACAAATAATTGCTTCAATTTGTGCAAGGTACCATAACAGGGTTGATGACTAATGCTGAAATGATTTGGTACATTTGGAAAAAGGAGATTTTGGCCTCTTGTACCCCATTATTGATTACTTGCGTTTGTCATCATAAATTTGTTAGCACTGCTAATGAAACTCAGTTGATTGTTGTCTTTCCATCTGGGTGGTTATGATTTAGTAGTTAGACAAGAAAGTGCTCTTCTTATATTTTCATGGATTACTAATTTGGGGTTTGATCCATGGATGGAGGAGAAACCTCCTGACATGTCCTGAAAGGAGTGAGAAACCTCCTGTCCTTTAGTATTTACAGTTAATAGCTGTAAAATTCTTTAAGGTCTTATATCTTGTGCTGTTGGCATATTTAAATTATTGCTATTATAATCTGTATCTGTAATGTTTTTGTTTGTGGAGTGGTAGTTAGTTTTGAGATATTAGTACTTGTGCTTTTGGCATATTTAAATTATTGCTATTATAATCTGTATCTGTAATGTTTTTGTTTGTGGAGTGGTAGTTAGTTTTGAGATATTAGTACTTGTATTATTACTTATAATAGCTTCTCAAAGGTTTATGATCAACTATTTATTTATGTTGGTTTATGATCAAACAAGTTGTCAGCTTTTTAATTTCTTGTTGTTCAACTATTTATTTATGTTGGTTCTGTAACCTTAATGAATCCTCTATAAGGTACCAACAACTAGCAACATCAAACTTGTTTATGATATATTCAAGTAAAATCTAGTCATTCATTTGTTTAATAATGTACATTCATGTTTCATTCATTGCAATATGGTGATCGGTGAGTTTGTTTTAAATTAGTGTAATAACTAATTATAAAAAAAAACTCGATGGTGTGGACCGAACAACCCGCAACCCGACCTGTTGTAACCCGCAATCCGATCAACCCGATTGATCCGCAACCCGATCAACCCGTAACCCGACTGATCCGCAACCCGATCAACCCGAACCCAATCAACCCGCAACCCGATCAACCCGCAACCCATTCAACCCGATCAACCCGAACCTGCTTGACGCACAACCCGTTTGACCCGCAACCCGATTAACCCGCGACCCGACTGAACCCGACCCGAACCCGCCCGATTGACACTTATACAGGGGGCGGACCCAAGTATCAAAGAGGTGTGTCGGCTATGCCCGAATTTTTGGTGAGAAACTTGGGTTTTGTCAATACTTAAAAAGAAAAACCGAAAAACTTCTGACACAAGAGCATTAATTGTAATAGACACATCTTCATTAGACTATAAGAAATTTTTTGTCATAATGTCACCTCTATTCCCGTTGAAACTCCCTCATTAATGCATATCGTTACCCTAACTAGTTACCACTTACCACTTCTCATTCGAGGTTTCTCATCGTAATTTAGTTTTGATTTTACCTGTTGCAATTTCAAACTGCGAAAGAACCGTTTCAGCTACGAAGTTAATCCAGAATAGTTTTCTGATTCAGTTAGTGATCAATTTATGAATATGATTGTTTAGTTTTATATATAAAAAATGGTTTGATTCGTGAATATAAAAGATACATTATACAAACTTCTAAAAATATGAAGAGTTGTTAATGTTCGCTGTAAAAAGACTAGGAACTTGTGAATATTATAAATTAAAGTTAATTTTTTTATCGACCGACAAACCTTTCCAAACATCCTGGGTACGTCACTAACCTCATGGACGAAATAACGACAGCTCCTGGCTCATAGTCAAATTAACACCTCAAGGCAAGGGGATGTTTAGTGTTCTTCTAAGATCAACCTTACGAGTAGAATAGAATGAACGACTAAAGAGATAGATCCCCTCTATCCCCAATCCGGCTAGGGTGCATACAATACAACTCCATTGGGTTAAGATCTGTTGACTAAGGGGGTCCCTTAGTCATATGACTAAGTGAATCTCCATCCTTACACCTCATTAAAATCCAACGGTCCAGATTAATCTCATTTAATGAAGGACAAAATAGTAATTACACAAATTAATTATTTAACAATTAAAATTTAAAAAAAGTGCGGTGAATTTGTTCAGCCTAGTTATTCTGCTAACTAGAAAATTTGTTAGTATATACTAACTAATATCCAAAATGTATGAACTAATATCCAAGTCTGTTGAGTATCTAGATAGCACAAACTAGTATTCAAAACATCACAAACTAGTATCCAGATAACAGATACCAACTAATATCCACAACCAACCAATTAGTATTCAATATTGATACTCTTATGTGTTATCTGGATACTCTTATGTGCTGTATGGATACTATTTATGTGTTGTATGGATACTATTCTTTGTTGTTTAGATATTAGTTTGTGAATTTGGGATAATAGTTTATTCATGGTGGATATCAGTTAGCCAACTTTGAATACTAGTTTGTGCTTTCTAGGTACTTTAGTACTTGGATACTAATTCATGTATTTTGGATATCAGTTAGTATCTGTTAACGAATTTTCAAGTTAGCAGATTAACTTTTCCCGAATTTGTTGTGCCCTCCCGCGGGCTACCTGTTTCTCGGGACCTGCCACCGACCGCCTAGGGAATTTTCACGGTGGCTTGGGATTCATTCCCTCTCCGGCGGTCCTTTTCTGGCCCTAGTAATAATAAGTGCCGTGGGGATTTTAGGTACCCAGAGAGAGATTTTCAGACGCCGACAATAATTCCTCTGTGCCGGCGAGATTTTCCGACGACAGCGGGAGTTTTGTAATGTTTGCCGTTCTATTTTGTAATATTTGTAAGTCTGGTTTATAATGTTTACAGACAACTCGGTTTGTATTATTTGTCATTTTTGTCTATTATGCTTTGTGTTGTTTGTCGCTTTATTTTGTAATGTTTGTACGCTTTGTTATTTTGTAATGTTTGTCGGGTTCGTTTGTAATGTTTGTAAGCTTTGTTATTTTGTGAACCATGTTTATCATTTTTGTGAACCATGTTTGTAATGTTTTTTATGTCTAAAAAACAACCTGATTTACTTTTGGATAGAACTCCTCTATATAGGGATGGAGTCTCCAAAGTCAACCTGAGTGTTTTTTCTAGTTTGTATGAATTGTCGGTCTAGTTTGTCATTTTTGTCCACCATGTTCGTAATGTGTGTATGTTTAAAAAACAATCGGGTTGACTTTGAGACGAAGCCCTCTATATAGGGATGAAGCCTCCAAAGTCAACCCGGTTGTTTTTTCTTTTTTGTATGATTTGAATTGTTTGTTAGTCTAGTTTGTATTGTCTGTACAGTTCATATGTTTGTAATGTTTGTAAATTTGTTTGTATGTTTTGTCGTTATAGTTTGTACTATTTTTATGTTTGTATGGTTTGTAATGATTGTAAGTTCAGTTTCTATATTTCATAATTTTCCATAATATCCAAACTACTCATGTCATTAATTAAATAGCTCTTTCCACTTTTTAACCGTCAGATTGTTGTGTCCAGATCTAAAGGCTGGGAGGGACTTAGTCAAGTGACTAAGCACCCCTAGTCACCGAATCCTCCCTCCCACTCCATTTGTAAGTGTTGTAAAACACGTGGCGGTCGTGGGGTGTCCAGCGCCCGATCGAACAACTAGAACAGCCGTGGACATTGTAAGCACGTTCTGACAAATGAGACCTCCTAGCCGGATTGCTCCTCAAGAATCCATCCATTTCGTTCTGATCTTCTGGATATGATAAGCTATGGAAAACAAACATTATGGACTGAAAGAATTAGCTCCACTACGTATTTACATTCTCTGGATGGGGTAAGAACCTACACATCTGGAAGAATAAGTCGCCGTAACTGAATCCAATACAAGGCTAAACCGAGTATGAAATTGATTTGGACAGGGCACTCAGCAGCAGTGGCTGACCTTCTCTTCACGTTCTGGTGTAACGGGTGGCAGAGCGTCCGCCGGTGGAGCGCCTGGCTTTTGTGGTCCTGTGCCATTTTTCACATGGTTCAAAACAAATCAGTTATGAGTCTGCGTGTTTAATTCATACAATCACGGCTCTCAAACTTGTATATGGCTAGAGTGGCCGAGTTATTTGCAACAAAACTATAATAAGACTGACTGAGAGAGTTAACCCAACTGCCCGAGTGCACAAGATTTCCAGTTCCGAAGTCTAGTATTATGTTTTTCGGCAGAAGAGGTTGAATAATCTAAGCCTAATCCATCTCCAGTAGGCAGCAAACCACGGGAGAGTGCAGAAGAAGTATCAAAAGACAGACAGACAAGAACATCTTCCAGATTGTAGATAGTAAACAGAGGAAAACACTTACTTCTTGTAGTGAAACCGCTCGTCTTGATTATCCAACTCTCCATCATTATAAAAACGAGGACTACTGATGTCATGATGTCCCTGCAAAAAATTATATCAGGGTTGGCTGTTTGCATAATACTGCCTTGCATGAGCAGTTCCACTAAGCACCAACCTAAAGTCAATTGTAAAACCAAAAGAGGGGCCTTCTAATAAAAAAGTGAACCGCAGCCACCTCGTATCTTCCTCAGTTGCTGTACTACTGTACTGGCTAGTATGCATTCTTGAAATGGATCTTTCTGTCGGGCATGCCATATGCATAAAAAAACCAGAGACAAACTTAACAGCGTTCTTAGTGATTATCCTCCGTATCACCCTCATAAATACAATATTACATTTCCACAGTTTCCAAGTCGATCAGACATAGAAACCATAATCTTCCATCGTAAACAACTTAAACAGAATTGTACTAATGAAGACCATAGAACAGGTATATCTAATAAAGCACAGTAGCGTACACCTTAACACATACACTAACAGCTGATGCAGTTAAGAAGGACGAGATGAACTCACATTCGAATGGAGGTTCTTCCTTGCTTTTTCAATATTTTCCTTGACATCCATCTGATGCTGCTTCTCCAATTGATCCATTTCATTAGCCTGTCTAATCTTGTCTTCAATCAAGGGAAGCAAATTATCTGAAGTTGCCAACCTGAAAACAGTATCAACTTTTAACAACAAAGCAGTACATACAAATACATGTAGCAGCTGTTACAGCCAAAGTATAGAAAATAATTCTCCCTTAACATTAACTTTAGCTAACAGATGTAGACTCTCCCAGTATATCATTCATTGTACAAGTGAAAACCCCTTTTCACCAGAATGTCATGCATGCACATTCTACAAAGTACTAAGTACTAACCATACCGTGCTAGACATTGCGGCAGCTTAATAGCGAAAATTGTACAAGTTTTGGAAGCATACATACCAATTTCTTGCAGTCTCTATCACGGCTTCAAGTTCACCAGGGACCAGGTCCCTCCCTGCCGCAAATTCAATCTGAAAGAAACCACATAATTAAGTCCATAAGTTTGAAACAATAAACACCATTGAGCAGTAAAGGCCATTCAAAGAAGGAAGATTTCAACCTGAAAACATCGCCTCGATTGATCCAACTTCCCTTTGATTATCCCCTAAATCAAAATATTCAATTTCATTACAAAAATGCAGCGCCGAATCTGAATCTCACCATAAACCCCGCAACGTGAATATGACCTTACCGCGTACAAACACTCATCAATAAGGAAGTCCTCGAGCTCACGCACGTTAGAAAATTCCAGTTGCTCTAAAAGAGTATCGTAGGAGACAACCTAGAGAGAGCGGCAGCAACCACATTAGCAAACAACGAAACAAGTTCAATTCGTACAAACAGCCGACTACAGTGAATTTCTGTAACCAGAAAGCAAGCTAATCACCTTGCTATTCTCAGCGACAGTAAGCACAGTGAGCTGCTTCAGCTTAAGAATTTGATCCGGTTTCAGCTGCGGCAGTACACTCGATTTCCCTACCAGAATGAAGGTCAAAACTCCAGGCAGAAACCAGAAAACAATGCAAGAAAGCAAAATCCGATGGTAAGGAAAGCCACGACGAAGACTCTTCTCACCTTTGTAATCCTTCCACGTTCCGTAAGCGAACAGCTTCAGGAGATCAACGTACGCCAAATTCTCGGTTCCTTGAACCTACATCGTTCCGCGGTTAAACGCAAGTCCGATTACTCGAGTACGAAGAAGAAGAAGAAGAAGAAGAAGAAGAAGAAGAATAAGAAGAAGAATAAGAAGAAGAAGGGAGACGAAGCTGAAGAACCCTAACCTGGACGAGATTGGGGAGTGCAAGAATCTCGCCGAAGGAGAAGACTGAAGGGTGGGAGGTAGATTCGACGACGAGGCGAGCGAGAGAGGGAGAAGAGGCAGGGCCGCCGTCGATCGCCGACGCTTGCGCCACGAACTGGTGGATGAATTGCTCCTGGCGCTCTTCTATCTCCATTGATTTTGACTGTGGAGTAGATTACGGAGAAAGGGCTTTACTATACGGAGTTCCCACCTGCGACTTGGCAGCGGAAGGAGACGAGAAAGTTGAGCAGCAGCGTTTAGTGGCGACTGGCGAGAGCGGACGTTGGACGGCGAAACTGAAACTGGCTGATGGCTGAAAGATGCGCATGATTTTATACTGTACGGGTGCCATGTGAATATGAGGCCTCAAGGCTCAAGGGTCCAAGCATGGTGCTCATGGGCTCATCTCAAGTAATTGGGCTGCACTCTTCACTGGTCGAAGTTAGAGATGATAATTTCGATCTGACCTGTTTGACCTGTTTTGAGGTGGATCCGACCCGCTTCGTAGGCGGGACGGGGCGTGCATGGGTAGTCTCATCGACCTGACCTGCCCTGACCCGCCTCATTCTCGACCCGTTCTTATCTAAATTATATTAAATCTTAGTCAAATTACTTAGAATCTTCCTTTTATTGCATCATATTTTAGCTATAATTAAGTTTTAAATTAGTAAAAACCTCAATTTCTCCAATAATTTAACTACAATTGTCATAATATTGTCTGTTTTCTTAGTCTTATAATAAAAATAACGAATATTTTTCATATAAATTGCATACCCATTGGGTCGACCTGCCCCGACCCGCGACCCGTGATCAATTACCCGACCTAGACCCGACCTGCCACGGGACGGGTCTTGGTACCAAGAAACCCGCCCCGGCCCTGCCCCATTGTCATTCCTAGTCGAAGTATATACCTGTAATGAATTATAGGGGTAGTGAATTTTATCATCCTAAAATAGGGAGGATTGTGAAATCGTAACAGAAATAATATGGACAAAATTTAGTTGTACAGTATTTTGTACCAAAATCACAATTTAAGTGTGGTTCAATAATTTTCAATCATTAAAATTCCTATTGATTTGGATCAGATCGGTATTTCTGGTCCTACCGACAGCTACAATAGGTTTTCCTTAACATTGAAATTTGAATAGATTATCTTTGTCCTTAAAATTCGTTAGCAATTTTCAATATGGTCCTTACAAGCGCATCATCAATTTTACAAATTGCTCTCTTTAAAAATTCCAAACCAACTAATCTCTAAATTTTGTTTGCAGTTTTAGGTTTCAACTACTATTTTTAGGGGTGGGAAACGATGTGGACCGGACCAAACCATAGGAATGGTATGTGGTTTAGACCGAGAGGCTGGAACACAGATCATGGACCAGACCATATACTATAGGGTCCAAACCATACCACGCCTGTACGAGGCAGTCTGGTACGGTCAGCGGCGAATCCTAGACTAGGTAGAGCATTGAGCCACATTTTGAAAAGAGGCAGAATGGGTTGAGCCGTAGCTCGACGAACACTTAAATGAATACCGAAAATAAAAAATTTATAAGTGTTATACTAGCTTTGATCCAGAGGAGGGCAGGGCCACGGCCCGAGGACGGGCCCCCTGGATCCGCCGCTGGGTACGGTCTAGACCAGACATACCACATTAAAAAAAATTCACTCTTATTCAGTGACCAATATGCTAGTAAAACAAAAATATAGTGATCGTAATAAAATGAGAAGAAATATATGACGAGAGAAGTGGGCTTTTTCAATTTTCAAACTCTCTCCAGTTTCCACGGCTCTATCCAGTATCCATTAAAAAAATACATATAAAATATCCTTGTTCCCCTCTTCCTTTTTGTGCTACTGCTTCCCTCTCCCTCTCGGGCGATATGAAGTTCTCGCGGGCGATCACCTTCGTGATGACGCCGATGTCGTTTTCAATCACTAAGATGGTCACTTATCTCTCAATAATTTTCCTTATCTCAACAAAGTGAATGAAATTTTCTAGTGTTTATATTTTATCGACATAGTCTAGACATTGTCGGTGAATATTATTTATGAATCTTTATGGTTTTTTTGTGGTTCTTTGATAAGGAGATAACACATAAGCGATCTTTTGGGAAATCTATTGGCTCTCAACTCGATAAAGAATCAACTAATGTGTTCTTCGAATACAAAAATGGAGGTTTAAGTTAATTAGTGTTATTTTGGTATGAGTTAGTAGGTAGTGTGTCATGGTCTCTTACGGTTTACTGCGGTAGACTGCGGTCCAGACCGCAAACGAGACTAGGTCATAATTCAGGTCTCACAATCCGGATCAAACCATATGATACGGTCTAATCCCTGATTCCCCATACGATTTGGTCTACTCTAGATTTCCAGCACTAACTATTTTACCGCAAGCCAAACACTTTGTAATTGAAAAGTTACTAAAAAAATAAAGAAAATCATTTACCTATGTCAGTGAAAAAGGAATTGCCGGGTCAGATCCTGTGCTTAAGCCTAAAAGCTTAAGCATATGCTTAAAGCCTTCCTATTGGCTAATATGATTTTAGTTAGTTTATGAAAGGTTAGTAGTTAGTTTGTTATTAAGGGTAAATGAGGAATTAAGAATTTTTTTTATAGTTATGGAAACTGATTAATATAATTATTATTAATAGGAAAGAAGCATTAAAACCCTAAACCATTCTAGGCCTCTCTCTCTTTGCGAATTCTGGAGGGGAAGGCGCCTACAAGAAAAACGGATACGGCCGCAACACCATCCCTCCGCCATCCATGCGCCAGGGCGTCGACGACCAAGGCAACGCTGACCAGTCCCCCCCCCCCCCAGCAACAACGACACCATCAACCGAGACAACTTCCCGGGACCGACATGATTATCGCCTGCCGATGATTCGTGTCTGCCAGCCGCCAGAGCGTGCTCAGACGACATCGCCATCCTGCCGCCAAAGCGTCCTCCTATGACACCATCTCGTCCCTCCGACGTCATCCCGTTGCTACTTGTCAACGTTAAAACAAAGTTTACGATCTATGATTTTCATTAAAAAATGATGAGAAATCGTTAATAATGATATCATAGATCACCAAAAAGAATTCATAAAAAATGACGAGAAATTGTTAATAATGATGATTTCTATTATTAATAATACCAAGAGTTAACGTTGATAATGGTATGATAAATCGATGAAATTTGGTAAAAAAACATTGATAATACCTTTTTGATGAAAAAAAACGTTGATAATACCTCGAAGTAATGTTAATAGTCATTTGTCGAAGAGAATGATTATAAGAACGAATACGATATTGTATATCTTTAATAATAGAATGACTAATTATATTCTACACATTGACAACATCAGCATGAACAATTGATAATTACCATCAAATAGTTAATAATGTTGAATTATAACATTGATAATCCCTTCATAATCGTTGATAATATTAAGAAAATCTAATAATTATATACAATCTGAATACTTTAATAAACTGACGTGCAAATATGAAAGCTACTAATAATGATTCTCTCTAATGTTGGTAATTACCATTAGATTAATGCTAGCGATTTTCATATGCACCCTCAAGGGCTCATGTCTGAAGTTCGAGTCGTCTGGTTGGTTGTGCTTTAAAATGGTATTAAAACGTTAATAATGGTATAAAAAAGGTTGACAACTTAAAAATAAAAGGTTAACAATGAAAAATGAAAAGTTAATAATAAACTCAATGGGATCACTCCTGTGCTGGTATCAGTATTGAAAATGGTATTTAAAAAGTTAATAATGGTATTAAAAGGGATGATAACTTAAGAATAAAAGTTTAACAATGGTAACACAAAATTCAATAATAAAAAGGTAATAATGCTATTAAAAAGGATTGTGCTGATATCAGTTTTAAAATGGTATTTAAAAGGGTGATAACTTAAGGATAAAACATTAACAACGGTATTTAAAAAGTTAAGAATAAAAGGTTAACTGAGGTAACTAATTGCCATCTGATTTATTACTAATTGAACGAAAGTGCGTTACTAATTTGAACATAAAAAATTGATGAAACATTGAAGGCGGTGGATAGACCGTAGACGGACGACAATAGTTCACCGCCAAATTAGACGATGACGAGACAAAAGAAAACGGGAATTGTTCGACGACGGTAACTGGTCAATGCTAGCTGGCCGGATGACGACCAAAAGCATACTGAGGTCCGACGCTAGCTGGACGTCGACGTTGAGGAGAGTACCAACAACATATTCCCGCAGGTATCATAAACGAGAAACACAAATGACAAATGTCAACTCCTGCAACTTCTTCTCCGCTGGTATTATAAACGAGAAACAGGACAGCAGCCCGAGGTACTTTCAGCCTAGGCTTGCCCGGTGTGGCTTACTATGCATATGTGGAAGGGATGGAAAACGCGACGGCGCCAAGGAAGGAGAATGGCCGGAAGTCGCCGGGTCGAAGACGGTAGAGGGTTAGGAGGAAGACGTCTTCAAGATACCAAAACGTAACCGGCGACTATGATTTTAGGGTTGACGAAGGGTTGATGATTAGTTTTTATTTAATTATGGAATTAGGTTAAATTTTGTATAAAAAAAATTAGGTTAAATTTTAAATAAATTAAATACACAATTTACCTTAATACCCTTAATTACTTATTAACTAATAACTTCTTATTAACCACCTAATCTACTAACAACCAATAGAATTAGTTTAAGCATATACTTAAGTTTTTGGGCTTAATCACATGAACTCATCCCGACAACGACTAAGCATTAATATATTATTACCACTAAAGCTAGTTGTATTTCTTGAGATTAATACTTCAACTTTTAAAACATTGAGACTATAGAGAAAATATAGAGTTGTCGTGTGAACATCCTCAACGAGAAGCTTATGCACTATTTTGTATTTTCAGCATGACAGATGGAGTAGCTCAATACAATCATCCTTGCTTACTCCCCCGCGAAAACTTGTTTAGCAATGATAATCAAGTCGGCTTTAGTTGGTTAATTCTATATCGATTTCGTGTAACATGTCACATCAAATAATTAGGCTTGTAATCCTATTTCCCTTTTCAATCATGAATATAATTTGAGATGAAAATACATGAAAATTTGAGTGTGGCTTAAAGGCAATAGAAACGTATATATCCTACATAGAGGTAGCAATTCTCAATTTAATCCACTAATCCATTCAAAATATCAACTAACCATTCCAATTGGATTGGATTCATGGATCATTGGCAAATTATAACTTAGTGCCTTAAATTTTTATCTTTTATATTTTGGTACCTAAAATTTA